CCACTGTCGATGACCCTTGTGCAATTCCTACATCTGGAACGAACACAGACATGCCTACGGTCTGGCTTGAGCCATTTATGCGACTTGTACTGCAGGCGACAGAACGTTAGAATCGACGTATTGTCAGACCTCTGACTTGGCACCACCGCTTTGCAGGCGCGGGACCAGAGGCTGGATTTCCTGCAGGAGCGCCTGCATGCCCCACACGGTTCCATATCTGTGCCTTGACAATCCAGACATCTGGGCCTTGAGATGGGAAGCTTCTGACTTCACGTCCAGCAATGTGTCTTGGAAAAGCACACACTACCCCGACACAAGAGGAAAACTCACGATGCAAGCAACTCAGCCGGCAGCACCGCTCGCGGTTTCAAGTAGATTATCGAAGATTTGGAGCTGTACGCTTTCTGCGCCACCAACGCACACGCAAAATATGACTCCAAAGAAAGCATTCATGGGCAATCTTCCGCAGGTAATTCGACAACGCGACAACTGGAATGAAGCCAGGCACAGTGGCTGCACCATTCACCGATTGTCAAAACTCAAGATTTCACAAGCTCCAGGCCTTGTTGCTGGTTCTGTTCTGGCCCTAATTAAGTCGCCTCACCCCTTCGAAAGTTCGAAGTCGCATCAATCCCATGTCACCCTCTGGAAACGTATTGTCAGCCCATACAATCCAGCACCGCGACAACATCTTGCACGCTCGTTTGCGCAGCTTCACACTAGGGTTTCGTGTTTTCGCGCTATGACTGCCACCGGCCACTTGTGTTTGTGGTTTGTGAACGGCCCGATTGTCCCATGTGGAGTCGAGCATCTGCATGGAGACAGGCAGCTTTTGATGTGCTATGATGCCACTAATCTGTGTCTGGAGGAGCGGTTGCGTGTGGAAGCGAGCGTCTACATGGGAAGTGGCGGGACTAGCGTGTAAGGCAGGACACTTCAGAAAATGCAGCGCAGTAGACCATGTCTTGTAGTCTGCCATGTGCAACCACCCATTATGCGGGCACTTGTTTGACTGCCGCATGATGCGGCACATGCAGGGCGGCAGAAGCTGGGAAGTATTGTAGGCGCGCGGCCTATCACAACACCAAGCCAAGGAAGCTAGCTAGCGCACAGGACAGTCAGCACAACCACTTGCTCTCCTTGCAAAGTACAGCGCCCGAGAGGTCCGCTGCACTGGTCTGGTCCGATGGGTGACACGACAGCTCACTCGAAGTCATGCTTATTGCAACTGTCTCAGACTGAACGCCAGCTGCACTCAGAAGACTAATGCACTGCAGCAAATGCACGCGGTCTCTTCATTTTCCTCTCAGTCGCAAGACTGGTTAAGTTGGGGCAGCGCGGACGGAAAATGATCTATCGGACCGCCCATGCTCGGCACGGGTTGTCCATTTCAGAATTCCACTGAAGACGATAACGTTATCGAAGCCCTTGCGGTAGACCAGGAGCTGAATGGCCCTTGGCACGCCAGCACGATCCATCTGGAACTTCAAGGAGGACTCCACAGCGGCAAGAATCTGCTCGTCATCGCAGGCCGGCATGGCGTCGGCAAACCTCAGTAGCACAGGGAACACTTAAGTAGCAGCGCAAAAGCGAAGGCTTGAACCGCACGTCCGGCGGATCCGTGAACACGACACACAAGTCATGTCCACTGCAACACATCGCAGCCATAACATTATCGCAAGAAACCCAAGCGAGAGTCAGCACAACAACTATAGGATATAGTTGCTGTTTGCTCACCAGTGCTCCCTCCCACCGGATCAGAGGCCCCAGTCGCAAAACCTGCAACACGCCTTCACAAGAGACAAATCGCCCCTGGAAAGATTTGCCTGCCAGTGCTCCCACCGGCTCAGAGGCCCCAGTCGCAAGCCTGCAACACGCCTTCAGAAGAGACAGATCGTCCCTGGAACCGTGCAAGACGAAAGCTCGGTCTACGGAATCTGAACACAAGGACCATCTTCATGGCTCTCACTGCTCGAGGAGGATGAATCATCACCGCTCCCAGAATCAGAAGATGAGTCGCCGGGTTTGGCCCCTTTTGGCCAGCAATGCTTGCAGGCTAGATCATACACAGCATCTTGTAGAGACTGCAGCGCAATCATTTCAAGAAGATCCGCAGGTACTGTGCCGCAGCCACCACGACGGTGCAGCCGCCGAAGTCGGCGCTTGCCTACGACAGCAATGAAGTAGGGGGCAGGAGCTGCATCCTTGACGTCTTCCGCTTCACCTGATGCTGGCATGGAATCGGCTGGCTCTAGGACCGGCGGCAACGCCGGGATAGTGGGCACACAACTCGCCGGTTCCACCTCGGACAATCGAGACAGGTCTAAGTGCAGACGTTCTTGAAGCTCGTCCAGCTCTGTCTGATTGAAACCCTGTTCACGCAAAAAAGCAGAGAGCTCCTCGATGCCAGAAACGCGCAGCTCTTGCCCACCCTGCTCCTTCAAAGCCCAAGCAGCGCGGGCCTGCAGACGCATCACCAGCTGTCGCACATATTCATCAGACGCGGACGCCACACTCCAGCGGCCAACGAAATCTCGCTGATCCCGCGGCACATCTAGCATTGTCAGTATGGACACCAGCCAGTTACGTTCAGAATGCTCCGACCAGAACCGTAGCGGATCTAGCGTCTCAAAAAGGAGCACCTCAGACAAAGTCCACTTTTCTTCTTGCCAGCGGGGCAGCCGCAAGGACTGCCACAGCCTCTTCGTCAATGTAACCACGTGCGGGTACTCGGCCATGACTTGGCGGGCTCCGGCAAGGTCCACAGTGGGGAGTGGCAGAAAATAATCACGCGCAAAGGCCATGGAATCTGTTTTCCAAATCGCAAACCCGACCGGTAGCCAGTCAGGCGACACAAGAAACGCACGGCGGCTGACAAAAAATAGGCAAGTAGCGCACACGCTTGCCAGGTCCAGATGTCTTTGTACGCTCCAAAACGCCTTGCAAACCCTCAGAGGACAGCACCAAAGACGCAGGGCTCAAGCCGGACAAGTCACCGCTGCGGCAGGCAGCCCACAGCTTTAGCAGCTTATAAAACGCGAATCCACGCATGTAAATCGGCAGACTGCGGTCAGATACGGCGAGCTCCAGGCTTGATATCATTGCCACCAGAAACATTGGCGCTTTGCGCTTTGGTGGCGCGCCACTTTCTAGTTCCATGGTGAACTGGTTCACAGTGTTACGAACCACCGCCAGCGCAGAAAAACGTTCTGCGTCAGGGACGCCGCCAGCTCGTTCCATGAAGGCCAGGGACTTGAGGATAGCTGAGGGTACTGAGCGAGCGCATGGCTCCAACCGCCGCTCATGCAAGTAATCCAGTATGAAGCCAACGTGCTTTGGCCATGGACACCCTGAAACCGCCATGACATAGCTGCTGGCTCGCTTCCATTCCCGCACTCGGCTGCGAATAGTTGATGCACGCGCAGCTCCCACAGCTGCAGATATAGCAGCTTCCGGGTTTGTGGCAAGGCAGACTTGCTCGCAGATTGGTAGCCGTGCAGATTGGATGATCTTCACAAGCTCGCACCGCCAACGAACAAGTTCTTGTTGCTCGACGTCGCAGCGCAGCATGTTGGACGTGGTGCTAGCCAGCTTCTTTGCCGGCCCCGTCACTGCCGGCGGGGCAACACGCGACTTTTTCTGGAGTAGCTCTAGCAGTTGCCGCTCGGCGGGGATTATTGCACATCGCTTTTGCAAGCGCTGGGCCTGAGGTAGAGCGCGGTCCCGCAGTATTCGCAACGCAGCGTTGCAAGCAGCTTTGGACTGGGAGTCCGTGATGAAGTCATCTAGCAATTGCGATAAGTCAGCATCACTGTCAAAGAGATACGCCAGAATCTTGCAGGGCGGCAGATGTTCTGCACTGTCGCCATACGCTGCACGGAAAGTGGCAGGAAGAACGGCCCACAGCTCTGCATCTGACAACTCTTCCTCAGGGCACTCAGAACTGCTTTCGGTATCAGAACCGATCATAGCCATTGCTGTATAAAAGCAAAATGCTCACACAAGGCTTCGCTAGCAGGTAGCACATAAACGCTCCTGCACCTATGAGCCTTGCAGGCAGAGCCACATGCTTGCAGAGCAACAGCAAACATGTAACATGTCCGCAGGTGTTCAAGCGCTTGCACAAATACACACAAGCGCAAGACCAGGCATCAGCTACGCACATGCTTCCCACTTAGATACACGCACGCGTGCACCTCGCTGCTAAAACTTGGGGCCGACAATCAAATCAAGAGCCAACAGGACAGGCCCCCCTTCATCCCCAGCTGCTCAGCAACCAGGGTGGATGGGCGGGAAACGAGCAAAATGCTGCAGCCAACAACAGCAGCCAGGCACTACACACCTACCGTACCTTAGCACAAGCCTGGCTGACTCCATGTACAAGCAAAAAGAGGTATGGCTTGGAGGGAGCCTAACCCAACCGAACCGAGAACACCAACAGGGGATCAAACCGCACCACTAGAAACCCCAACCCCCCAATCCTCTACCAGGCCAGAGAAAGCAGCAAAGACGAACCTGACGAACCTTCCCCTGCGGTCTCCTTCATTTTGAGATGCGGTGGCAGAGTTTTTGGGTCTCAAAGGACCGGGCGATACTGCAACGGTTATCGAGTCGACCATTGTCGACCCTAAAGCCAACCCCTACGTACATTTTGCAGGGTGCGGCGGGCGGGAAAAGCAAAATTGTCCCTACTTTGACTTGGCTGGGCCGATCGCTCAGCCTGCTAACCAGCAGGTGCAGCTGTGAGCACACAACACTGCGAGCTGTCAATCAATCACACCAACAACTTCATGCAGACACGCAGTCGCTCACACACGTGACAAGGTGCTATAGATCCCACTTTACTGCACGCACGCGTGCATCTCGCGTCATCCGCCCTACGACCGCGTTGTACAATGTTGGTTGCTTTTGTTCGCTCCTCAACGGCAACGTTGGTTGCTCGGCACACCAAGGACTGCTGCCGAACGCCATAGCCCATGGTTTCGGTTTGGGTTTAAAGTTTAAGGAGCCGTCGGCTTTCCAATCGGATCGCCCTGTCCAGCACAAGACAAAAGCACGGACTCCTCTGGCGCACAGAACACGTCGTCCCCGATTGACATAGGGCACTGCAACACACTGGTCTCTGAACCAGAACAAGCCAAGTCTGCTAGCTGCGGCGCCACTCCTCCACAGGCTTCCTGGGATCGGCAACCTGCGAAGCCTGCTGCCGCTGGGTAGCCCATCTGCTTGCAAGCAACTGAAGCCGATCCGCTCGTGAACCCAAGCTTGCACACTGGCGCCCAGGCTTGAGCGGCGGCCAGAAACACTTCCAGGCGCCCGGCCTCTTTGGGCAGGGCTGGTGCACCTGTTGATCCAACCAATCGCAGCTCGCCGTCTCGGAAAGCGCCCACAGAGCTTGCGCCGCAGAAGATGACAGCATCACTGCCGTGGCTCAGACATGCATCGTCTACTGCTTCTGAGCTGCACTCATCAACACTCATTTCTGTCCCCAAGCACTTCATGCTCTTCACGGCAACAGGTGATCCTGCTGCCCCACACCAGCTCCCTCCTCCATACTGGCCGCATGGAGATGGGCTCTGCACACCGAACTCAAAGCCCAACTGCCTGCAGGCCACACTTGCTGCTTCGGCATTCATTCCACACACAGACCCATATGACCCGGAGCTGGTCTGGATTTCCAAGAGCCCGGAACTCGCAGGATGACCCTCTGCCGTGATGCGGACATTTGCACGTGCTGCGCGGTTCAACACCTTTGCAAACACCAAATATACGCCAGTGAATAGAGGCCGCATGGCCTGAGACGGTCGCACCAGCTGATAGGCCAAGACACACCCTAGCGTAGAAGCACGAAGAGCAAGCATAGGAACAAGCTGCACGAAGAGTCAAGTGATTCAGACTATTCAATTACTTCAAGACCAGCTTTGCTACATCCATGACACTTTCTGTTTCGATCTTGAACACAGCAGTCGGGAATCCTCCTCGCCAGCCATGCCTGACCAGGCCAGAGACTAGAGCACGATCTGTACCAACTGTCAAAAGCTATTGCAGTAGACAACAGGTTACAACACGTTACAACGAAGCTCCGTTGGGAGCGCCGACGAGTTCTGCTGCTTGACACCAACAACCAATCGTTCACTGTCTGTAATGGTCAGGAATGATCAGGATCACGACGAAGCCAGCAGCCCACGCGCTGCGACAATGGTGCCCCTGGCTTCCTCCAGCAGGGCTGCTTCCGGGCCCACGTCCAACGCCATGTCGCCGACTTCTCGGCGTCGCTGAGTGCTCTGGATCGTGGCATTGGCACGAAGGGAGATAGGGCCGCCAGGCTTGCAGGAGCTGATCGCAGGCAAAGCCTTCGCGAGCTCGACGACGATAGACGAAAGCGCCGCATCTGCCGACTCCAGCGCAGGCATCTCGGCTGCCAAAGCAGCACCAGCTTGCGGGTCAAAACCACTGACTGCAACGGTGAAGAACTTGTCTCTTGCATCGTGGCTTTTCGCCGCCACTGCACATGGCTCCAGCACCGGCTGCAGCAGCCGCGTCAGCAGCTTGATAGAACGAACCCCAACAAGCTTACGGCCGTTCATTGTCCCGAGTGTCGGATGGGCTTCCTTCATGATGAGTCTGACTGCCGACATGGGCTTGGCCGGCGCGAGAGGAATCTTCACATGCTTCAAAGCGTTCGAATCTGTCGCAAATAGTTGCAGCCAATTCTCCGACGAGGCCTCCGCAGCCTGCACTGAAAACGCCGAAGGCGCGAATTCGAAGTCGAGCTCCAAGACGGATCCATGCACCGGCTCTCCGAAGTCAAGGAGAAGGCTGACGGCATCTGCCTCGTCCAGTTTAGAAACCCAGTAGGTGGACGCCACCCCGTCAACGGCCAAAGCTGCCCCATGGCTGGGATCTAACGTCGAGCTTGCAGACACTGAAGCTGAGGCGGCCGCGTTGACCGCAGCACCACTTGGCCCGACCTGGCTGATACACATGTTGCTCTGCGCCATCTTGACCTGACCGTTCCCTTGCAGTTCCCACTTCGCCACGCCGCCAGCTGCGTCGCACGACACCAGCGCTAGAGGCACACCAGCAGCACTTGTTCCTTGCGGGCTGAGACACGTCTTCGATCGCGCGTGCACCAAGGTCCCATCTGTCGCCAAGCTCCAGATCTCTTCCCCACTCATGCCAGCCACTGCCTTCTCGCAGGATTCAAGCCACACACCTGCTGCAGACCCTGCCAGGCAAGTCTCATCAACTGCCGTCACGCCGCTGATCATCAGGAAGTGCGCAGGAGCAGCGGCAGTGGCCGCAGACACATGCCTTGCAACTGCAAGCAAAGAGGACAGTGCTCCAACTGAAAACAACATAATCCAAACAGCGAAATGATCGAAGGCCACATTCACCAAGGTCGCTTCAGCACAACTTCATGCGGCAAGCCCGGAGTCAGATTTCTCTGCGGCATTCGTAGTCCTCTTCGCGTCTTCGCGACACAGCTGTGGCCTGCCTTACCCCTGCGTTTCAGCAGGTTTCAGCCTGTAGTGCTTACAGGCAGTAGAGCTCCAGCGAGCATATCCACTGAGTCACTGAGCATATGTGGGGATGGGTCAATACCCCGTGTTGTCGCGGGGCCCCACCCCCCCTCTGTTACAAACCTTTGTCGCGCCGGCTTTGTTACAAACCTTTGTCGCGCGGCAACGCTATATTATACGCTATATGAGGGACCTTGTCGCACCAGCCTTGTCGCAAAAGAACCATCTTTGTTACAAACTTTGTCGCGCCAGGGGCGCCCCGGCCCTGTAACAAACCAGAAGGATTTGACCCGCTGCCATGTTTGTGAGTGGAGTGAGTAGATTCAGCACACACTTACACTCACACACACTTACACACACACACACACACACACACACACACACACACACACACACACACACACACACACACACACACACACACACACACACACACACACACACACACACACACACACACACACACACACACACACACCACCACACACACACACACACACACACACACACACACACACACACACACACACACACACACACACACACACACACACACACACACACACACACACACACACACACACACACACACACACACACACACACACACTTATGCACACACTGACACACACCCACCCACACCCACACACTCCCACCCACACCCACACCCACACCCACACCCACACCCACACCCACACCCACACCCACCCACCCGCCTCACGATTACTGTCTCTCTGTTCTAAACTCACAGGTACCCCCGACCCGCCAGCCCACACTGCCGTGACACAACATGCAGTCGACGCGCCCTCTGACTCTTGTTTTTCTACGAGGGATGCGCAATCGAAATCCTAAGACTCTCGTTCCGAGAGTCTAGCATGGAACCTCATCAAACTTCCCGGAGGCGAATGGGGCGGCGGTGGGCGCAGGAGAAATGCAAGCTTCTTCTGCCCGAAGCCTAACACACAACACCTCGGAGGCAACTCGAGCAGAAGGCTAGCAGAACTAAAACATGTAGCTGCGGCTGTGAAACGAACACCGAGACGACTTATGTGCTCCGCTTCGCTCTGCACAGTTTAGCGTAGCTGCGGCTGTGAAACGAACACCGAGACGACTTATGTGCTCCGCTTCGCTCTGCACAGTTTAGCTTACTGTTTCGGGCACCAACCGCCACCCCCGACACCGATGAATCCTACCTCTACACCAACCAAACCTTTACAAGAACTCGGGCGCACCGAAGTTTTGCTAAAACTTGGGGCCGACAATCAAATCAAGAGCCAACAGGACAGGCCCCCTTCATCCCCAGCTGCTCAGCAACCAGGGTGGATGGGCGGGAAGCGAGCAAAATGCTGCAGCCAACAACAGCAGCCAGGCACTACACACCTACCGTACCTTAGCACAAGCCTGGCTGACTCCATGTACAAGCAAAAAGAGGTATGGCTTGGAGGGAGGGCCGGTGATGCCCGGTGCTCCTGCCTAACCCAACCGAACCGAGAACACCAACACGGGATCAAACTGCACCACTAGAAACCCCAACCCCCCAACCCTCTACCAGGCCAGAGAAAGCAGCAAAGACGAACCTGACGAACCTTCCCCTGCGGTCTCCTTCATTTTGAGATGCGGTGGCAGAGTTCTTGGGTCTCAAAGCACCGGGCGACACTGCAACCGGTTATCGAGTCGACCATTGTCGACCCTAAAGCCAACCCCTACATTTTGCAGGGTGCGGCGGGCGGGAAAAGCAAAATGTCCCTACTTTGACTTGGCTGGGCCTATCGCTCAACCTACTGCCTGCTAACCAGCAGGTGCAGCTGTGAGCACACAACACTGCGAGCTGTCAATCAATCACACCAACAACTTCATGCAGACACGCAGTCGCTCACACACGTGACAAGGTGCTATAGATCCCACTTTACTGCACGCACGCGTGCATCTCGCGTCATCCGCCCTACGACCGCGTTGTACAATGTTGGTTGCTTTTGTTCGCTCCTCAACGGCAACGTTGGTTGCTCGGCACACCAAGGACTGCTGCCGAACGCCATAGCCCATGGTTTCGGTTTGGGTTTAAAGTTTAAGGAGCCGTCGGCTTTCCAATCGGATCGCCCTGTCCAGCACAAGACAAAAGCACGGACTCCTCTGGCGCACAGAACACGTCGTCCCCGATTGACATAGGGCACTGCAACACACTGGTCTCTGAACCAGAACAAGCCAAGTCTGCTAGCTGCGGCGCCACTCCACCACAGGCTTCCTGGGATCGGCAACCTGCGAAGCCTGCTGCCGCTGGGTAGCCCATCTGCTTGCAAGCAACTGAAGCCGATCCGCTCGTGAACCCAAGCTTGCACACTGGCGCCCAGGCTTGAGCGGCGGCCAGAAACACTTCCAGGCGCCCGGCCTCTTTGGGCAGGGCTGGTGCACCTGTTGATCCAACCAATCGCAGCTCGCCGTCTGGGAAAGCGCCCACAGAGCTTGCGCCGCAGAAGATGACAGCATCACTGCCGTGGCTCAGACATGCATCGTCTACTGCTTCTGAGCTGCACTCATCAACACTCATTTTTCACTTGAGCCTCGTGGCCTGACATACTGGATCACAACTACAAGCAAGACGCTACAAGGCTGCAAGCCACATGACATCTACCGCGCAATACTGCCCTGTCCTACCGCACATGCACGGACTCTTGTTTTGTCGCGACGGTGACTCTGGGGAAAGTCTCGTCAACCTGTCCTGGGTCAGGGGGTTGAAGCCGACCAATGCGGGCCCTGGACCCAGGATACTCATCCCCTTGTCAACCTGTCCTGGGTCAGGGGGTTGAAGCCGACCAATGCGGGCCCTGGACCCAGGATACTCATCCCCCCCTCCCTCACCACTTTGGGCGGGTCGGGTGGGACAAAAAGCAAGATCGAGTGATCTTGATGTCTTATGCGTGAAGCTGCACCTTCCTAGTCTTGCATGTTGACATATCATGCTTAGCTGCTCACTAGCTTCTCCTGAGCCTCTGCGCGGGGGTATGTAAGTCAGGCACGTTCTGACGAACTCTCGTCGGCTCAGTGAACGAGCTATCACGAGGACTCGTGACGGCACTCCTGTCCCCAAGCACTTCATGCTCTTCACGGCAACAGGTGATCCTGCTGCCCCACACCAGCTCCCTCCTCCATACTGGCCGCATGGAGATGGGCTCTGCACACCGAACTCAAAGCCCAACTGCCTGCAGGCCACACTTGCTGCTTCGGCATTCATTCCACACACAGACCCATATGACCCGGAGCTGGTCTGGATTTCCAAGAGCCCGGAACTCGCAGGATGACCCTCTGCCGTGATGCGGACATTTGCACGTGCTGCGCGGTTCAACACCTTTGCAAACACCAAATATACGCCAGTGAATAGAGGCCGCATGGCCTGAGACGGTCGCACCAGCTGATAGGCCAAGACACACCCTAGCGTAGAAGCACGAAGAGCAAGCATAAGAACAAGCTGCACGAAGAGTCAAGTGATTCAGACTATTCAATTACTTCAAGACCAGCTTTGCTACATCCATGACACTTTCTGTTTCGATCTTGAACACAGCAGTCGGGAATCCTCCTCGCCAGCCATGCCTGACCAGGCCAGAGACTAGAGCACGATCTGTACCAACTGTCAAAAGCTATTGCAGCAGACAACAGGTTACAACACGTTACAACGAAGCTCCGTTGGGAGCGCCGACGAGTTCTGCTGCTTGACACCAACAACCAATCGTTCACTGTCTGTAATGGTCAGGAATGATCAGGATCACGACGAAGCCAGCAGCCCACGCGCTGCGACAATGGTGCCCCTGGCTTCCTCCAGCAGGGCTGCTTCCTGGCCCACGTCCAACGCCATGTCGCCGACTTCTCGGCGTCGCTGAGTGCTCTGGATCGTGGCATTGGCACGAAGGGAGATAGGGCCGCCAGGCTTGCAGGAGCTGATCGCAGGCAAAGCCTTCGCGAGCTCGACGACGATAGACGAAAGCGCCGCATCTGCCGACTCCAGCGCAGGCATCTCGGCTGCCAAAGCAGCACCAGCTTGCGGGTCAAAACCACTGACTGCAACGGTGAAGAACTTGTCTCTTGCATCGTGGCTTTTCGCCGCCACTGCACATGGCTCCAGCACCGGCTGCAGCAGCCGCGTCAGCAGCCTGATAGAACGAACCCCAACAAGCTTACGGCCGTTCATTGTCCCGAGTGTCGGATGGGCTTCCTTCATGATGAGTCTGACTGCCGACATGGGCTTGGCCGGCGCGAGAGGAATCTTCACATGCTTCAAAGCGTTCGAGTCTGTCGCAAATAGTTGCAGCCAATTCTCCGACGAGGCCTCAGCAGCCTGCACTGAAAACGCGGAAGGCGCGAATTCGAAGTCGAGCTCCAAGACGGATCCATGCACCGGCTCTCCGAAGTCAAGGAGAAGGCTGACGGCATCTGCCTCGTCCAGTTTAGAAACCCAGTAAGTGGACGCCACCCCGTCAACGGCCAGTGCTGCCCCATGGCTGGGATCTAACGTCGAGCTTGCAGACACTGAAGCTGAAGCGGCCGCGTTGACCGCAGCACCACTTGGCCCGACCTGGCTGATACACATGTTGCTCTGCGCCATCTTGACCTGACCGTTCCCTTGCAGTTCCCACTTCGCCACGCCGCCAGCTGCGTCGCACGACACCAGCGCTAGAGGCACACCAGCAGCACTTGTTCCTTGCGGGCTGAGACACGTCTTCGATCGCGCGTGCACCAAGGTCCCATCTGTCGCCAAGCTCCAGATCTCTTCCCCACTCATGCCAGCCACTGCCTTCTCGCAGGATTCAAGCCACACACCTGCTGCAGACCCTGCCAGGCAAGTCTCATCAACTGCCGTCACGCCGCTGATCATCAGGAAGTGCGCAGGAGCAGCGGCAGTGGCCGCAGACACATGCCTTGCAACTGCAAGCAAAGAGGACAGTGCTCCAACTGAAAACAACATCATCCAAACAGCGAAATGATCGAAGGCCACATTCACCAAGGTCGCTTCAGCACAACTTCATGCGGCAAGCCCGGAGTCAGATTTCTCTGCGGCATTCGTAGTCCTCTTCGCGACACAGCTGTGGCCTGCCTTACCCTGTAGTGCTTACAGAGCAGAGTCAGAGCTACAGCGAGCATATCCACTGAGTCACTGCATATGTATGTTTGTGTGAGTGGAGGAGTAGATTCAGCACACACACACACACACACTTACACACACACACACACACACACACTTACACACACACACACACACACACACACACACACACACACACACACACACACACACACACACACCCACTCCACCCACCCACCCGCCTCACGTTTACTTTACTTCTTTCGGGCACCAACCGCCACCCCCGACACCGATGAATCCGACCGACCTCTACACCAACCAAACTTTTACAAGAACTCGGGTGCGCCGAACTTTTGCTCAAACTTGGGGCCGACAATCAAATCAAGAGCCAACAGGCCCCCTTCATCCCCAGCTGCTCAGCAACCAGGGTGGATGGGCGGGAAACGAGCAGAATGCGGCAGCCAACAACAGCAGCCAGGCACTACACACCTACCTTAGCACAAGCCTGGCTGACTCCATGTACAAGCAAAAAGAGGTGTGGCTTGGAGGGAGGGCCGGTGATGCCCGGTGCTCCTGCCTAACCCAACCGAACCGAGAACACCAACACGTCAACCGGCGTACGATCGCGTTGTACAATGTTGGTTGCTTTTGTTCGCTCCTCAACGGCAACGTTGGTTGCTCGGCACACCAAGGACTGCTGCCGAACGCCATAGCCCATGGTTTCGGTTTGGGTTTAAAGTTTAAGGAGCCGTCGGCTTTCCAATCGGATCGCCCTGTCCAGCACAAGACAGAAGCACGGACTCCTCTGGCGCACAGAACACGTCGTCCCCGATTGACATAGGGCACTGCAACACACTGGTCTCTGAACCAGAACAAGCCAAGTCTGCTAGCTGCGGCGCCACTCCTCCACAGGCTTCCTGGGATCGGCAACCTGCGAAGCCTGCTGACCCTGAGTAGCCCATCTGCTTGCAAGCAACTGAAGCCGATCCGCTCGTGAACCCAAGCTTGCACACTGGCGCCCAGGCTTGAGCGGCGGCCAGAAACACTTCCAGGCGCCCGGCCTCTTTGGGCAGGGCTGGTGCACCTGTTGATCCAACCAATCGCAGCTCGCCGTCTGGGAAAGCGCCCACAGAGCTTGCGCCGCAGAAGATGACAGCATCACTGCCGTGGCTCAGACATGCATCGTCTACTGCTTCTGAGCTGCACTCATCAACACTCACTTCTGTCCCCAAGCACTTCAAGCTCTTCACGGCAACAGGTGATCCTGCTGCCCCACACCAGCTCCCTCCTCCATACTGGCCGCATGGAGATGGGCTCTGCACACCGAACTCAAAGCCCAACTGCCTGCAGGCCACACTTGCTGCTTCGGCATTCATTCCACACACAGACCCATATGACCCGGAGCTGGTCTGGATTTCCAAGAGCCCGGAACTCGCAGGATGACCCTCTGCCGTGATGCGGACATTTGCACGTGCTGCGCGGTTCAACACCTTTGCAAACACCAAACATACGCCAGTGAATAGAGGCCGCATGGCCTGAGACGGTCGCACCAGCTGATAGGCCAAGACACACCCTAGCGTAGAAGCACGAAGAGCAAGCATAGGAACAAGCTGCACGAAGAGTCAAGTGATTCAGACTATTCAATTACTTCAAGACCAGCTTTGCTACATCCATGACACTTTCTGTTTCGATCTTGAACACAGCAGTCGGGAATCCTCCTCGCCAGCCATGCCTGACCAGGCCAGAGACTAGAGCACGATCTGTACCAACTGTCAAAAGCTATTGCAGCAGACAACAGGTTACAACACGTTACAACGAAGCTCCGTTGGGAGCGCCGACGAGTTCTGCTGCTTGACACCAACAACCAATCGTTCACTGTCTGTCAGGGTCAGGATCACGACGAAGCCAGCAGCCCACGCGCTGCGACAATGGTGCCCCTGGCTTCCTCCAGCAGGGCTGCTTCCTGGCCCACGTCCAACGCCATGTCGCCGACTTCTCGGCGTCGCTGAGTGCTCTGCATCGTGGCATTGGCACGAAGGGAGATAGGGCCGCCAGGCTTGCAGGAGCTGATCGCAGGCAAAGCCTTCGCGAGCTCGACGACGATAGACGAAAGCGCCGCATCTGCCGACTCCAGCGCAGGCATCTCGGCTGCCAAAGCAGCACCAGCTTGCGGGTCAAAACCACTGACTGCAACGGTGAAGAACTTGTCTCTTGCATCGTGGCTTTTCGCCGCCACTGCACATGGCTCCAGCACCGGCTGCAGCAGCCGCGTCAGCAGCCTGATAGAACGAACCCCAACAAGCTTACGGCCGTTCATTGTCCCGAGTGTCGGATGGGCTTCCTTCATGATGAGTCTGACTGCCGACATGGGCTTGGCCGGCGCGAGAGGAATCTTCACATGCTTCAAAGCGTTCGAGTCTGTCGCAAATAGTTGCAGCCAATTCTCCGACGAGGCCTCAGCAGCCTGCACTGAAAACGCGGAAGGCGCGAATTCGAAGTCGAGCTCCAAGACGGATCCATGCACCGGCTCTCCGAAGTCAAGGAGAAGGCTGACGGCATCTGCCTCGTCCAGTTTAGAAACCCAGTAAGTGGACGCCACCCCGTCAACGGCCAAAGCTGCCCCATGGCTGGGATCTAACGTCGAGCTTGCAGACACTGAAGCTGAAGCGGCCGCGTTGACCGCAGCACCACTTGGCCCGACCTGGCTGATACACATGTTGCTCTGCGCCATCTTGACCTGACCGTTCCCTTGCAGTTCCCACTTCGCCACGCCGCCAGCTGCGTCGCACGACACCAGCGATAGAGGCACACCAGCAGCACTTGTTCCTTGCGGGCTGAGACACGTCTTCGATCGCGCGTGCACCAAGGTCCCATCTGTCGCCAAGCTCCAGATCTCCTCCCCACCCATGCCAGCCACTGCCTTCTCGCAGGATTCAAGCCACACACCTGCTGCAGACCCTGCCAGGCAAGTCTCATCAACTGCCGTCACGCCGCTGATCATCAGGAAGTGCGCAGGAGCAGCGGCAGTGGCCGCAGACACATGCCTTGCAACTGCAAGCAAAGAGGACAGTGCTCCAACTGAAAACAACATCATCCAAACAGCGAAATGATCGAAGGCCACATTCACCAAGGTCGCTTCAGCACAACTTCATGCGGCAAGCCCGGAGTCAGATTTCTCTGCGGCATTCGTAGTCCTCTTCGCGACACAGCTGTGGCCTGCCTTACCCTGTAGTGCTTACAGGCAGCAGAGCTACAGCGAGCATATCCACTGAGTCACTGAGCATATGTTTGTGTGCGTGGAGTAGATTCAGCGCACACACACACACACACTTACACACATACACACACACACACACACACACACACACACACACACACACACACCCACTCACACCCACTCAACCACCCACCCACCCACCCGCCTCACGTTTACTTTACTTTTTCGGGCACCAACCGCCACCCCCGACACCGATGAATCCGACCGACCTCTACACCAACCAAACTTTTACAAGAACTCGGGTGCGCCGAACTTTTGCTCAAACTTGGGGCCGACAATCAAATCAAGAGCCAACAGGCCCCCTTCATCCCCAGCTGCTCAGCAACCAGGGTGGATGGGCGGGAAACGAGCAGAATGCGGCAGCCAACAACAGCAGCCAGGCACTACACACCTACCTTAGCACAAGCCTGGCTGACTCCATGTACAAGCAAAAAGAGGTATGGCTTGGAGGGAGGGCCGGTGATGCCCGGTGCTCCTGCCTAACCCAACCGAACCGAGAACACCAACACGTCAACCGGCGTACGATCGCGTTGTACAATGTTGGTTGCTTTTGTTCGCTCCTCAACGGCAACGTTGGTTGCTCGGCACACCAAGGACTGCTGCCGAACGCCATAGCCCATGGTTTCGGTTTGGGTTTAAAGTTTAAGGAGCCGTCGGCTTTCCAATCGGATCGCCCTGTCCAGCACAAGACAGAAGCACGGACTCCTCTGGCGCACAGAACACGTCGTCCCCGATTGACATAGGGCACTGCAACACACTGGTCTCTGAACCAGAACAAGCCAAGTCTGCTAGCTGCGGCGCCACTCCTCCACAGGCTTCCTGGGATCGGCAACCTGCGAAGCCTGCTGACCCTGGTAGCCCATCTGCTTGCAAGCAACTGAAGCCGATCCGCTCGTGAACCCAAGCTTGCACACTGGCGCCCAGGCTTGAGCGGCGGCCAGAAACACTTCCAGGCGCCCGGCCTCTTTGGGCAGGGCTGGTGCACCTGTTGATCCAACCAATCGCAGCTCGCCGTCTGGGAAAGCGCCCACAGAGCTTGCGCCGCAGAAGATGACAGCATCACTGCCGTGGCTCAGACATGCATCGTCTACTGCTTCTGAGCTGCACTCGTCAACACTCATTTCTGTCCCCAGGCACTTCAAGCTCTTCACGGCAACAGGTGATCCTGCTGCCCCACACCAGCTCCCTCCTCCATACTGGCCGCATGGAGATGGGCTCTGCACACCGAACTCAAAGCCCAACTGCCTGCAGGCCACACTTGCTGCTTCGGCATTCATTCCACACACAGACCCATATGACCCGGAGCTGGTCTGGATTTCCAAGAGCCCGGAACTCGCAGGATGACCCTCTGCCGTGATGCGGACATTTGCACGTGCTGCGCGGTTCAACACCTTTGCCAGGCCGCATGGCCTGACGGTCGCACCAGCTGATAGGCCAAGACACACCCTAGCGTTGAACAAGACGAAGAGTCCAGAATTCAACTACGACCATGTGACAATCTTGAACACAGCAGTCGGGAATCCTCCTCGCCAGCCATGCCTGACCAGGCCAGAGACTGCACGATCTGTACCAACTGTCAAAAGCTATTGCAGTAGACAACAGTTACAACACGTTACAACGAAGCTCCGTTGGGAGCGCCACGAGACACACCTCGTTCATGTCGGTCAGATCAGCACCAAGCATGGCCCACGTCGAACTTCTCGGTGTCGCTGAATCGTGGCATTGGCACGAAGGGAGATAGGGCCGCCAGGCTTGCAGGAGCTGATCGCAGGCAAGCCTCCGCGAGCTCGACAACGATAGACGAAAGCGCCGCATCTGCCGACTCCAGCGCAGGCATCTCGGCTGCCAAAGCAGCACCAGCTTGCGGGTCAAAACCACTGACTGCAACGGTGAAGAACTTGTCTCTTGCATCGTGGCTTTTCGCCGCCACTGCACATGGCTCCAGCACCGGCTGCAGCAGCCGCGTCAGCAGCTTGATAGAACGAACCCCAACAAGCTTACGGCCGTTCATTGTCCCGAGTGTCGGATGGGCTTCCTTCATGATGAGTCTGACTGCCGACATGGGCTTGGCCGGCGCGAGAGGAATCTTCACATGCTTCAAGGCGTTCGAGTCTGTCGCAAATAGTTGCAGCCAATTCTCCGACGAGGCCTCAGCAGCCTGCACTGAAAACGCGGAAGGCGCGAATTCGAAGTCGAGCTCCAAGACGGATCCATGCACCGGCTCTCCGAAGTCAAGGAGAAGGCTGAGCAGTCCAGTTTAGAAACGTAAGTCGTGCTGCCCCATGGCTGGGATCTAACGTCGAGCTTGCAGACACTGAAGCTGAAGCGGCCGCGTTGACCGCAGCACCACTTGGTCCGATCTGGCTGATACACATGTTGCTCTGCGCCATCTTGACCTGACCGTTTCCTTGCAGTTCCCACTTCGCCACGCCACCAGCTGCGTCGCACGACACCAGCGCCAGAGGCACACCAGCAGCACTTGTTCCTTGCGGGCTGAGACACATCTTCGATCGCGCGTGCACCAAGGTCCCATCTGTCGCCAAGCTCCAGATCTCTTCCCCACTCATGCCAGCCACTGCCTTCTCGCAGGATTCAAGCCACACACCTGCTGCAGACCCTGCCAGGCAAGTCTCATCAACTGCCGTCACGCCGCTGATCATCAGGAAGTGCGCAGGAGCAGCGGCAGTGGCCGCAGACACATGCCTTGCAACTGCAAGCAAAGAGGACAGTGCTCCAACTGAAAACAACATCATCCAAACAGCGAAATGATCGAAGGCCACATTCACCAAGGTCGCTTCAGCACAACTTCATGCGGCAAGCCCGGAGTCAGATCTCTCTGCGGCATTCGTAGTCCTCTTCGCGACACAGCTGTGGCCTGCCTTACCCTGTAGTGCTTACAGGCAGCAGAGCTACAGCGAGCATATCCACTGAGTCACTGAGCATATGTTTGTGTGCGTGGAGTAGATTCAGCGCACACACACACACACACTTACACACATACACACACACACACACACACTTACACACATACACACACACACACACACACACACCCACTCAACCACCCACCCACCCACCCGCCTCACGTTTACTTTACTTTTTCGGGCACCAACCGCCACCCCCGACACCGATGAACCGACCTCTACACCAACCAAACTTTTACAAGAACTCGGGTGCGCCGAACTTTTGCTCAAACTTGGGGCCGACAATCAAATCAAGAGCCAACAGGCCCCCTTCATCCCCAGCTGCTCAGCAACCAGGGTGGATGGGCGGGAAACGAGCAAAATGCTGCAGCCAACAACAGCAGCCAGGCACTACACACCTACCTTAGCACAAGCCTGGCTGACTCCATGTACAAGCAACATGGCTTGAAGAGAGGGGCCGGTGATGCCCGGTGCTCCTGCCTAACCCAACCGAACCGAGAACACCAACACGTCAACCGGCGTACGATCGCGTTGTACAATGTTGGTTGCTTTTGTTCGCTCCTCAACGGCAACGTTGGTTGCTCGGCACACCAAGGACTGCTGCCGAACGCCATAGCCCATGGTTTCGGTTTGGGTTTAAAGTTTAAGGAGCCGTCGGCTTTCCAATCGGATCGCCCTGTCCAGCACAAGACAGAAGCACGGACTCCTCTGGCGCACAGAACACGTCGTCCCCGATTGACATAGGGCACTGCAGCACACTGGTCTCTGAACCAGAACAAGCCAAGTCTGCTAGCTGCGGTGCCACTCCTCCACAGGCTTCCTGGGATCGGCAACCTGCGAAGCCTGCTGACCCTGAGTAGCCCATCTGCTTGCAAGCAACTGAAGCCGATCCGCTCGTGAACCCAAGCTTGCACACTGGCACCCAGGCTTGAGCGGCGGCCAGAAACACTTCCAGGCGCCCGGCCTCTTTGGGCAGGGCTGGTGCACCTGTTGATCCAACCAATCGCAGCTCGCCGTCTGGGAAAGCGCCCACAGAGCTTGCGCCGCAGAAGATGACAGCATCACTGCCGTGGCTCCGACATGCATCGTCTACTGCTTCTGAGCTGCACTCATCAACACTCATTTCTGTCCCCAAGCACTTCAAGCTCTTCACGGCAACAGGTGATCCTGCTGCCCCACACCAGCTCCCTCCTCCATACTGGCCGCATGGAGATGGGCTCTGCACACCGAACTCAAAGCCCAACTGCCTGCAGGCCACACTTGCTGCTTCGGCATTCATTCCACACACAGACCCATATGACCCGGAGCTGGTCTGGATTTCCAAGAGCCCGGAACTCGCAGGATGACCCTCTGCCGTGATGCGGACATTTGCACGTGCTGCGCGGTTCAACACCTTTGCAAACACCAAATATACGCCAGTGAATAGAGGCCGCATGGCCTGAGACGGTCGCACCAGCTGATAGGCCAAGACACACCCTAGCGTAGAAGCACGAAGAGCAAGCATAGGAACAAGCTGCACGAAGAGTCAAGTGATTCAGACTATTCAATTACTTCAAGACCAGCTTTGCTACATCCATGACACTTTCTGTTTCGATCTTGAACACAGCAGTCGGGAATCCTCCTCGCCAGCCATGCCTGACCAGGCCAGAGACTAGAGTAGAGCACGATCTGTACCAACTGTCAAAAGCTATTGCAGCAGACAACAGGTTACAACACGTTACAACGAAGCTCCGTTGGGAGCGCCGACGAGTTCTGCTGCTTGACACCAACAACCAATCGTTCACTGTCTGTAATGGTCAGGAATGATCAGGATCACGACGAAGCCAGCAGCCCACGCGCTGCGACAATGGTGCCCCTGGCTTCCTCCAGCAGGGCTGCTTCCTGGCCCACGTCCAATGCCATGTCGCCGACTTCTCGGCGTCGCTGAGTGCTCTGCATCGTGGCATTGGCACGAAGGGAGATAGGGCCGCCAGGCTTGCAGGAGCTGATCGCAGGCAAAGCCTTCGCGAGCTCGACGACGATAGACGAAAGCGCCGCATCTGCCGACTCCAGCGCAGGCATCTCGGCTGCCAAAGCAGCACCAGCTTGCGGGTCAAAACCACTGACTGCAACTGTGAAGAACTTGTCTCTTGCATCGTGGCTTTTCGCCGCCACTGCACATGGCTCCAGCACCGGCTGCAGCAGCCGCGTCAGCAGCCTGATAGAACGAACCCCAACAAGCTTACGGCCGTTCATTGTCCCGAGTGTCGGATGGGCTTCCTTCATGATGAGTCTGACTGCCGACATGGGCTTGGCCGGCGCGAGAGGAATCTTCACATGCTTCAAAGCGTTCGAGTCTGTCGCAAATAGTTGCAGCCAATTCTCCGACGAGGCCTCAGCAGCCTGCACTGAAAACGCGGAAGGCGCGAATTCGAAGTCGAGCTCCAAGACGGATCCATGCACCGGCTCTCCGAAGTCAAGGAGAAGGCTGACGGCATCTGCCTCGTCCAGTTTAGAAACCCAGTAAGTGGACGCCACCCCGTCAACGGCCAGTGCTGCCCCATGGCTGGGATCTAACGTCGAGCTTGCAGACACTGAAGCTGAAGCGGCCGCGTTGACCGCAGCACCACTTGGCCCGACCTGGCTGATACACATGTTGCTCTGCGCCATCTTGACCTGACCGTTCCCTTGCAGTTCCCACTTCGCCACGCCGCCAGCTGCGTCGCACGACACCAGCGATAGAGGCACACCAGCAGCACTTGTTCCTTGCGGGCTGAGACACGTCTTCGATCGCGCGTGCACCAAGGTCCCATCTGTCGCCAAGCTCCAGATCTCCTCCCCACCCATGCCAGCCACTGCCTTCTCGCAGGATTCAAGCCACACACCTGCTGCAGACCCTGCCAGGCAAGTCTCATCAACTGCCGTCACGCCGCTGATCATCAGGAAGTGCGCAGGAGCAGCGGCAGTGGCCGCAGACACATGCCTTGCAACTGCAAGCAAAGAGGACAGTGCTCCAACTGAAAACAACATCATCCAAACAGCGAAATGATCGAAGGCCACATTCACCAAGGTCGCTTCAGCACAACTTCATGCGGCAAGCCCGGAGTCAGATTTCTCTGCGGCATTCGTAGTCCTCTTCGCGACACAGCTGTGGCCTGCCTTACCCTGTAGTGCTTACAGGCAGCAGAGCTACAGCGAGCATATCCACTGAGTCACTGAGCATATGTTTGTGTGCGTGGAGTAGATTCAGCGCACACACACACACACACTTACACACATACACACACACACACACACACACACACACACACACACACACACACACTTACACACCCACACACACACACACACACACACACCCACTCAACCACCCACCCACCCGCCCGCCTCACGTTTACTTTACTTTTTCGGGCACCAACCGCCACCCCCGACACCGATGAATCCGACCGACCTCTACACCAACCAAACTTTTACAAGAACTCGGGTGCGCCGAACTTTTGCTCAAACTTGGGGCCGACAATCAAATCAAGAGCCAACAGGCCCCCTTCATCCCCAGCTGCTCAGCAACCAGGGTGGATGGGCGGGAAACGAGCAGAATGCGGCAGCCAACAACAGCAGCCAGGCACTACACACCTACCTTAGCACAAGCCTGGCTGACTCCATGTACAAGCAAAAAGAGGTATGGCTTGGAGGGAGGGCCGGTGATGCCCGGTGCTCCTGCCTAGCCCAACCGAACCGAGAACACCAACACGTCAACCGGCGTACGATCGCGTTGTACAATGTTGGTTGCTTTTGTTCGCTCCTCAACGGCAACGTTGGTTGCTCGGCACACCAAGGACTGCTGCCGAACGCCATAGCCCATGGTTTCGGTTTGGGTTTAAAGTTTAAGGAGCCGTCGGCTTTCCAATCGGATCGCCCTGTCCAGCACAAGACAGAAGCACGGACTCCTCTGGCGCACAGAACACGTCGTCCCCGATTGACATAGGGCACTGCAACACACTGGTCTCTGAACCAGAACAAGCCAAGTCTGCTAGCTGCGGCGCCACTCCTCCACAGGCTTCCTGGGATCGGCAACCTGCGAAGCCTGCTGACCCTGAGTAGCCCATCTGCTTGCAAGCAACTGAAGCCGATCCGCTCGTGAACCCAAGCTTGCACACTGGCGCCCAGGCTTGAGCGGCGGCCAGAAACACTTCCAGGCGCCCGGCCTCTTTGGGCAGGGCTGGTGCACCTGTTGATCCAACCAATCGCAGCTCGCCGTCTGGGAAAGCGCCCACAGAGCTTGCGCCGCAGAAGATGACAGCATCACTGCCGTGGCTCCGACATGCATCGTCTACTGCTTCTGAGCTGCACTCATCAACACTCATTTCTGTCCCCAAGCACTTCAAGCTCTTCACGGCAACAGGTGATCCTGCTGCCCCACACCAGCTCCCTCCTCCATACTGGCCGCATGGAGATGGGCTCTGCACACCGAACTCAAAGCCCAACTGCCTGCAGGCCACACTTGCTGCTTCGGCATTCATTCCACACACAGACCCATATGACCCGGAGCTGGTCTGGATTTCCAAGAGCCCGGAACTCGCCGGATGACCCTCTGCCGTGATGCGGACATTTGCACGTGCTGCGCGGTTCAACACCAAATTACGCCAGTGAATAGAGGCCGCATGGCCTGAGACGGTCGCACCAGCTGATAGGCCAAGACACACCCTAGCGTAGAAGCACGAAGAGCAAGCATAGGAACAAGCTGCACGAAGAGTCAAGTGATTCAGACTATTCAATTACTTCAAGACCAGCTTTGCTACATCCATGACACTTTCTGTTTCGATCTTGAACACAGCAGTCGGGAATCCTCCTCGCCAGCCATGCCTGACCAGGCCAGAGACTAGAGTAGAGCACGATCTGTACCAACTGTCAAAAGCTATTGCAGCAGACAACAGGTTACAACACGTTACAACGAAGCTCCGTTGGGAGCGCCGACGAGTTCTGCTGCTTGACACCAACAACCAATCGTTCACTGTCTGTAATGGTCAGGAATGATCAGGATCACGACGAAGCCAGCAGCCCACGCGCTGCGACAATGGTGCCCCTGGCTTCCTCCAGCAGGGCTGCTTCCTGGCCCACGTCCAATGCCATGTCGCCGACTTCTCGGCGTCGCTGAGTGCTCTGCATCGTGGCATTGGCACGAAGGGAGATAGGGCCGCCAGGCTTGCAGGAGCTGATCGCAGGCAAAGCCTTCGCGAGCTCGACGACGATAGACGAAAGCGCCGCATCTGCCGACTCCAGCGCAGGCATCTCGGCTGCCAAAGCAGCACCAGCTTGCGGGTCAAAACCACTGACTGCAACGGTGAAGAACTTGTCTCTTGCATCGTGGCTTTTCGCCGCCACTGCACATGGCTCCAGCACCGGCTGCAGCAGCCGCGTCAGCAGCCTGATAGAACGAACCCCAACAAGCTTACGGCCGTTCATTGTCCCGAGTGTCGGATGGGCTTCCTTCATGATGAGTCTGACTGCCGACATGGGCTTGGCCGGCGCGAGAGGAATCTTCACATGCTTCAAAGCGTTCGAGTCTGTCGCAAATAGTTGCAGCCAATTCTCCGACGAGGCCTCAGCAGCCTGCACTGAAAACGCGGAAGGCGCGAATTCGAAGTCGAGCTCCAAGACGGATCCATGCACCGGCTCTCCGAAGTCAAGGAGAAGGCTGACGGCATCTGCCTCGTCCAGTTTAGAAACCCAGTAAGTGGACGCCACCCCGTCAACGGCCAGTGCTGCCCCATGGCTGGGATCTAACGTCGAGCTTGCAGACACTGAAGCTGAAGCGGCCGCGTTGACCGCAGCACCACTTGGCCCGACCTGGCTGATACACATGTTGCTCTGCGCCATCTTGACCTGACCGTTCCCTTGCAGTTCCCACTTCGCCACGCCGCCAGCTGCGTCGCACGACACCAGCGCCAGAGGCACACCAGCAGCACTTGTTCCTTGCGGGCTGAGACACGTCTTCGATCGCGCGTGCACCAAGGTCCCATCTGTCGCCAAGCTCCAGATCTCTTCCCCACTCATGCCAGCCACTGCCTTCTCGCAGGATTCAAGCCACACACCTGCTGCAGACCCTGCCAGGCAAGTCTCATCAACTGCCGTCACGCCGCTGATCATCAGGAAGTGCGCAGGAGCAGCGGCAGTGGCCGCAGACGCATGCCTTGCAACTGCAAGCAAAGAGGACAGTGCTCCAACTGAAAACAACATCATCCAAACAGCGAAATGATCGAAGGCCACATTCACCAAGGTCGCTTCAGCACAACTTCATGTGGCAAGCCCGGAATCAGATTTCTCTGCGGCATTCGTAGTCCTCTTCGCGACACAGCTGTGGCCTGCCTTACCCTGTAGCGCTTACAGGCAGCAGAGCTACAGCGAGCATATCCACTGAGTCACTGAGCATATGTTTGTGTGCGTGGAGTAGATTCAGCGCGCACACACACACACACACTTACACACATACACACACACACACACACACACACACACCCACTCAACCACCCACCCACCCACCCGCCTCACGTTTACTTTACTTTTTCGGGCACCAACCGCCACCCCCGACACCGATGAATCCGACCGACCTCTACACCAACCAAACTTTTACAAGAACTCGGGTGCGCCGAACTTTTGCTCAAACTTGGGGCCGACAATCAAATCAAGAGCCAACAGGCCCCCTTCATCCCCAGCTGCTCAGCAACCAGGGTGGATGGGCGGGAAACGAGCAGAATGCGGCAGCCAACAACAGCAGCCAGGCACTACACACCTACCTTAGCACAAGCCTGGCTGACTCCATGTACAAGCAAAAAGAGGTATGGCTTGGAGGGAGGGCCGGTGATGCCCGGTGCTCCTGCCTAACCCAACCGAACCGAGAACACCAACACGTCAACCGGCGTACGATCGCGTTGTACAACGTTGGTTGCTTTTGTTCGCTCCTCAACGGCAACGTTGGTTGCTCGGCACACCAAGGACTGCTGCCGAACGCCATAGCCCATGGTTTCGGTTTGGGTTTAAAGTTTAAGGAGCCGTCGGCTTTCCAATCGGATCGCCCTGTCCAGCACAAGACAGAAGCACGGACTCCTCTGGCGCACAGAACACGTCGTCCCCGATTGACATCGGGCACTGCAACACACTGGTCTCTGAACCAGAACAAGCCAAGTCTGCTAGCTGCGGCGCCACTCCTCCACAGGCTTCCTGGGATCGGCAACCTGCGAAGCCTGCTGACCCTGAGTAGCCCATCTGCTTGCAAGCAACTGAAGCCGATCCGCTCGTGAACCCAAGCTTGCACACTGGCGCCCAGGCTTGAGCGGCGGCCAGAAACACTTCCAGGCGCCCGGCCTCTTTGGGCAGGGCTGGTGCACCTGTTGATCCAACCAATCGCAGCTCGCCGTCTGGGAAAGCGCCCACAGAGCTTGCGCCGCAGAAGATGACAGCATCACTGCCGTGGCTCAGACATGCATCGTCTACTGCTTCTGAGCTGCACTCATCAACACTCATTTCTGTCCCCAAGCACTTCAAGCTCTTCACGGCAACAGGTGATCCTGCTGCCCCACACCAGCTCCCTCCTCCATACTGGCCGCATGGAGATGGGCTCTGCACACCGAACTCAAAGCCCAACTGCCTGCAGGCCACACTTGCTGCTTCGGCATTCATTCCACACACAGACCCATATGACCCGGAGCTGGTCTGGATTTCCAAGAGCCCGGAACTCGCCGGATGACCCTCTGCCGTGATGCGGACATTTGCACGTGCTGCGCGGTTCAACACCTTTGCAAACACCAAACATACGCCAGTGAATAGAGGCCGCATGGCCTGAGACGGTCGCACCAGCTGATAGGCCAAGACACACCCTAGCGTAGAAGCACGAAGAGCAAGCATAGGAACAAGCTGCACGAAGAGTCAAGTGATTCAGACCATTCAACTACTTCAAGACCAGCTTTGCTACATCCATGACACTTTCTGTTTCGATCTTGAACACAGCAGTCGGGAATCCTCCTCGCCAGCCATGCCTGACCAGGCCAGAGACTAGAGCACGATCTGTACCAACTGTCAAAAGCTATTGCAGTAGACAACAGGTTACAACACGTTACAACGAAGCTCCGTTGGGAGCGCCGACGAGTTCTGCTGCTTGACACCAACAACTAATCGTTCAGTGTCGGTCAGGATCACGACGAAGCCAGCAGCCCACGAGCTGCGACAATGGTGCCCCTGGCTTCCTCCAGCAAGGCTGCTTCCTGGCCCACGTCCAACGCCATGTCGCCGACTTCTCGGTGTCGCTGAGTGCTCTGCATCGTGGCATTGGCACGAAGGGAGATAGGGCCGCCAGGCTTGCAGGAGCTGATCGCAGGCAAAGCCTCCGCGAGCTCGACAACGATAGACGAAAGCGCCGCATCTGCCGACTCCAGCGCAGGCATCTCGGCTGCCAAAGCAGCACCAGCTTGCGGGTCAAAACCACTGACTGCAACGGTGAAGAACTTGTCTCTTGCATCGTGGCTTTTCGCCGCCACTGCACATGGCTCCAGCACCGGCTGCAGCAGCCGCGTCAGCAGCTTGATAGAACGAACCCCAACAAGCTTACGGCCGTTCATTGTCCCGAGTGTCGGATGGGCTTCCTTCATGATGAGTCTGACTGCCGACATGGGCTTGGCCGGCGCGAGAGGAATCTTCACATGCTTCAAGGCGTTCGAGTCTGTCGCAAATAGTTGCAGCCAATTCTCCGACGAGGCCTCAGCAGCCTGCACTGAAAACGCGGAAGGCGCGAATTCGAAGTCGAGCTCCAAGACGGATCCATGCACCGGCTCTCCGAAGTCAAGGAGAAGGCTGACGGCATCTGCCTCGTCCAGTTTAGAAACCCAGTAAGTGGACGCCACCCCGTCAACGGCCAAAGCTGCCCCATGGCTGGGATCTAACGTCGAGCTTGCAGACACTGAAGCTGAAGCGGCCGCGTTGACCGCAGCACCACTTGGTCCGATCTGGCTGATACACATGTTGCTCTGCGCCATCTTGACCTGACCGTTTCCTTGCAGTTCCCACTTCGCCACGCCACCAGCTGCGTCGCACGACACCAGCGCCAGAGGCACACCAGCAGCACTTGTTCCTTGCGGGCTGAGACACATCTTCGATCGCGCGTGCACCAAGGTCCCATCTGTCGCCAAGCTCCAGATCTCTTCCCCACTCATGCCAGCCACTGCCTTCTCGCAGGATTCAAGCCACACACCTGCTGCAGACCCTGCCAGGCAAGTCTCATCAACTGCCGTCACGCCGCTGATCATCAGGAAGTGCGCAGGAGCAGCGGCAGTGGCCGCAGACGCATGCCTTGCAACTGCAAGCAAAGAGGACAGTGCTCCAACTGAAAACAACATCATCCAAACAGCGAAATGATCGAAGGCCACATTCACCAAGGTCGCTTCAGCACAACTTCATGTGGCAAGCCCGGAATCAGATTTCTCTGCGGCATTCGTAGTCCTCTTCGCGACACAGCTGTGGCCTGCCTTACCCTGTAGCGCTTACAGGCAGCAGAGCTACAGCGAGCATATCCACTGAGTCACTGAGCATATGTTTGTGTGAGTGGAGTAAAATCAGCACACACACACACACACCCGCACTTACACACACACACACACACACACACACACACACCCACACACACACCCACCCACTCACCCACCCACTCAACCACCCACCCACCCACCCACTCACCCACCCACCCACCCGCCTCACGTTTACTTTACTTTTTCGGGCACCAACCGCCACCCCCGACACCGATGAATCCGACCTCTACACCAACCAAACTTTTGCAAGAACTCGGGCGCGCCGAACTTTTGCTCAAACTTGGGGCCGACAATCAAATCAAGAGCCAACAGGCCCCCTTCATCCCCAGCTGCTCAGCAACCAGGGTGGATGGGCGGGAAACGAGCAAAATGCTGCAGCCAACAACAGCAGCCAGGCACTACACACCTACCTTAGCACAAGCCTGGCTGACTCCATGTACAAGCAACATGGCTTGAAGAGAGGGGCCGGTGATGCCCGGTGCTCCTGCCTAACCCAACCGAACCGAGAACACCAACACGTCAACCGGCGTACGATCGCGTTGTACAATGTTGGTTGCTTTTGTTCGCTCCTCAACGGCAACGTTGGTTGCTCGGCACACCAAGGACTGCTGCCGAACGCCATAGCCCATGGTTTCGGTTTGGGTTTAAAGTTTAAGGAGCCGTCGGCTTTCCAATCGGATCGCCCTGTCCAGCACAAGACAGAAGCACGGACTCCTCTGGCGCACAGAACACGTCGTCCCCGATTGACATAGGGCACTGCAGCACACTGGTCTCTGAACCAGAACAAGCCAAGTCTGCTAGCTGCGGTGCCACTCCTCCACAGGCTTCCTGGGATCGGCAACCTGCGAAGCCTGCTGACCCTGAGTAGCCCATCTGCTTGCAAGCAACTGAAGCCGATCCGCTCGTGAACCCAAGCTTGCACACTGGCACCCAGGCTTGAGCGGCGGCCAGAAACACTTCCAGGCGCCCGGCCTCTTTGGGCAGGGCTGGTGCACCTGTTGATCCAACCAATCGCAGCTCGCCGTCTGGGAAAGCGCCCACAGAGCTTGCGCCGCAGAAGATGACAGCATCACTGCCGTGGCTCCGACATGCATCGTCTACTGCTTCTGAGCTGCACTCATCAACACTCATTTCTGTCCCCAAGCACTTCAAGCTCTTCACGGCAACAGGTGATCCTGCTGCCCCACACCAGCTCCCTCCTCCATACTGGCCGCATGGAGATGGGCTCTGCACACCGAACTCAAAGCCCAACTGCCTGCAGGCCACACTTGCTGCTTCGGCATTCATTCCACACACAGACCCATATGACCCGGAGCTGGTCTGGATTTCCAAGAGCCCGGAACTCGCCGGATGACCCTCTGCCGTGATGCGGACATTTGCACGTGCTGCGCGGTTCAACACCTTTGCAAACACCAAACATACGCCAGTGAATAGAGGCCGCATGGCCTGAGACGGTCGCACCAGCTGATAGGCCAAGACACACCCTAGCGTAGAAGCACGAAGAGCAAGCATAGGAACAAGCTGCACGAAGAGTCAAGTGATTCAGACTATTCAACTACTTCAAGACCAGCTTTGCTACATCCATGACACTTTCTGTTTCGATCTTGAACACAGCAGTCGGGAATCCTCCTCGCCAGCCATGCCTGACCAGGCCAGAGACTAGAGCACGACCTGTACCAACTGTCAAAAGCTATTGCAGTAGACAACAGGTTACAACACGTTACAACGAAGCTCCGTTGGGAGCGCCGACGAGTTCTGCTGCTTGACACCAACAACTAATCGTTCACTGCCTGTCATGGTCAGGAATGGTCAGGATCACGACAAAGCCAGCAGCCCACGCGCTGCGACAATGGTGCCCCTGGCTTCCTCCAGCAAGGCTGCTTCCTGGCCCACGTCCAACGCCATGTCGCCGACTTCTCGGTGTCGCTGAGTGCTCTGCATCGTGGCATTGGCACGAAGGGAGATAGGGCCGCCAGGCTTGCAGGAGCTGATCGCAGGCAAAGCCTCCGCGAGCTCGACAACGATAGACGAAAGCGCAGCATCTGCCGACTCCAGCGCAGGCATCTCGGCTGCCAAAGCAGCACCAGCTTGTGGGTCAGAACCACTGACTGCAACGGTGAAGAACTTGTCTCTTGCATCGTGGCTTTTCGCCGCCACTGCACATGGCTCCAGCACCGGCTGCAGCAGCCACTTCAGCAGCCTGATAGAACGAACCCCAACAAGCTTACGGCCGTTCATTGTCCCGAGTGTCGGATGGGCTTCCTTCATGATGAGTCTGACTGCCGACATGGGCTTGGCCGGCGCGAGAGGAATCTTCACATGCTTCAAGGCGTTCGAGTCTGTCGCAAATAGTTGCAGCCAATTCTCCGACGAGGCCTCAGCAGCCTGCACTGAAAACGCGGAAGGCGCGAATTCGAAGTCGAGCTCCAAGACGGATCCATGCACCGGCTCTCCGAAGTCAAGGAGAAGGCTGACGGCATCTGCATGCCTCGTCCAGTTTAGAAACCCAGTAAGTGGACGCCACCCCGTCAACGGCCAAAGCTGCCCCATGGCTGGGATCTAACGTTGAGCTTGCAGACACTGAAGCTGAAGCGGCCGCATTGACCGCAGCACCACTTGGTCCGATCTGGCTGATACACATGTTGCTCTGCACCATCTTGACCTGACCGTTTCCTTGCAGTTCCCACTTCGCCACGCCACCAGCTGCGTCGCACGACACCAGCGCCAGAGGCACACCAGCAGCACTTGTTCCTTGCGGGCTGAGACACGTCTTCGATCGCGCGTGCACCAAGGTCCCATCTGTCACCAAGCTCCAGATCTCTTCCCCACTCATGCCAGCCACTGCCTTCTCGCAGGATTCAAGCCACACACCTGCTGCAGACCCTGCCAGGCAAGTCTCATCAACTGCCGTCAGGAAGTGCGCAGGAGCAGCGGCAGGGGCCGCAGACGCATGCCTTGCAACTGCAAGCAAAGAGGACAGTGCTCCAACTGAAAACAACATCATCCAAACATTGCGGAATGATCGAAGGCCACATTCACCAAGGTCGCTTCAGCACAACTTCATGTGGCAAGCCCAGAGTCAGATTTCTCTGCGGCATTCGTAGTCCTCTTCGCGTCTTCGCGACATAGCTGTGGCCTGCCTTGCCCCTGCATTTCTGCCTGTAGTGCTTACACGCAGTAGAGCTCCAGCGAGCATATCCACTGAGTCACTGAGCATATGTTTGTGAGTCAGTGAGTGGAGTAAATTCAACACACACACTTACACACCGACAAACACACACACACACACACACACACACACACACACACACACACACACACACACACACACACACACACACACACACACACACACACACACACACACACACACACACACACACACACACACACACACACACACACACACACACACACACACCCACCCGCCCACCCGCCCGCCCACACCACACCCACACCACACACCCACACACCCCCACACGCCCACACACACACACCCACACACCCCACACACACACACACACCCACACACCCACACACCCACCCACCCACCCACACACCCACACACCCACACACCCACACACCCACACACCCACACCCCCACACCCCCACACCCCCACACCCCCACACCCCCACACCCCCACACACCCATACACCCACACACCCACACACCCACACACCCACCCACAGACACACACAAACACACGTAATGTTAAGGTGATCAAACACATGCACTCCTTTTCAATGGTCGCAATGCACACTCCGCCAGGCGGCAGGAAATCCTGCCGCTGGCTCATCCCCCTTTCGAGGCTCAAAACAAGCCACATGGGGCTACACTGCACAAGCCACTGCTAACACAGCCCGCGCCAGGGGCAATCACCGGGCACCGCCCACTCCAGGGGCAACATAGAGACACTGTAAGAAGGGGTGGGAGGGCGGGAAATTTTGTGTGCAGCAAGAAGTGCGAGCAAAGGCTGCACACAAACACAGACACACTTAACACCCGTGCGTTCGCTGCATGCGCTTGTAGAGTGGTATGTGCGCGCAAGCACCCCCACACACACACACACACACACACACACACCCACCCACCCACGCACCCACGCACGCACGCACGCACGCACGCACGCACGCACGCACGCACGCACGCACGCACACCCGCACACGCACGCGCACCCACACCCACACCCACACCCACACCCACACCCACACCCACACCCACACCCACACCCACACCCACACCCACACCCACACCCACACCCACACCCACACCCACACCCACACCCACACCCACACCCACACCCACACCCACACCCACACCCACACCCACACCACACACCCACACCACACACCCACACACCACACACACACACACCCACACACCACACACACACACACCACACACACACACACACACACACCCACACACACACACACACACACACACACACACACACACACACACACACACACACACACACACACACACACACACACGCCCGCCCGCCCGCCCGCCCGCCCGCCCTCCCGCCCTCCCGCCCCCGCCCTCCCGCCCTCCCGCCCGCCCGCCCGCCGGCCCACCCACCCACCCGGAATCAAACCGCACCACTAGAAACCCCAACCCCCCAACCCTCTACCAGGTCAGAGAAAGCAGCAATGACGAACCTGACGAACCTTACCCTGCGGTCTCCTTCATTTTGAGGTGCGGTGGCAGAGTTCTTGGGTCTCAAAGCACCGCGCCGACACTGCAACCGGTTATCGAGTCGACCCAAACCCAACCTCTACATTGACTCTACATTTTGCAGGGTGCG